CAAGGATTTCATACTTTATTCATATCAAAGTCAAGCGTAGAAAAATCTGCATAAAATCTGAATCTCTAAAAGTCTTTGTTTTTGTTCAATCACGATTTGCATACAACTTTTTTTTTAATCAGTACAAGAGTAATAGAATTTCAAATTAACTGCGTGTTAATAAAGACTTTTCAGATCAAAGATAAATTTTTGAACCTATTTTCAATGTTTATGGTCATAATTCAGTATTTTTGTCACAGTAATAATCATTTTGATTGTTTAAATTTTGTATTTTCATTTGGGGGAGCATATCGATTTAGAACCTCATTAAATTAGAGCGAATTTCATAGAAAATAACTGAAAACATATAAAAACAGTTATGTATAGACATACAGGGGGCCCCAATATTCCAATAGAACTACTACGTATTTTTGGAATCAAAATAAGTTCATCGGACACAATTTACGTAGTTAAAAGTACCGTATGATCGAAAAAAAACGGCGTCCAGTTGGCTGGGAAATGACGATCGATGACATTTCCCATATAAAATGACAGCGATCTTCATTTCATAGCCATCGTTGACGCCGTTTTTTCTCGATCATACGGTAGTTCATTTGTCCGTTACAGGGCATCAAACTTGAAAAAAAAACACAAAATACACTTAGATCCATTTTATCACATACTAAACCAATGAATACAGAACAACAAACAAAAAATGTAATATACCAAATACCATGTGAATGCGATAAATTTTACATTGGTAAAACATCTAGACCCTTAAATGTTAGAATTAAAGAACATAAAGATTATTTAAGAAAGGAAGATTTTCACAAACCTAAGATTTGTCAGCATTCATGGGACACAGGGCACAGAATAAATTTTAATAACGCCAAAATTATAATGAAAGAAGCGATAGCCTCTAAAAGAAAAATAAAAGAGGCTTTTTTAATTCAATCTAATAAAAATAAATGTATTGCTCATGCATCTGTAGATGTTGGTTTGATATAGTAATGTATGGTAATCGCTTCTTTGATTTTAAAGAACATAACATAAATAAACCTAACATACGTAAAATTTAAAAATAATCATACAGAAAGTCATTTTAACAAAACGTCAACGGTTTCTTGTAGACGTATCTGTTTTAAAAAAGTAAAGTGTTCTCGAATAGTTGAATTTAAATATTTTTAAATAATTTTTTTCTTTATTCTTTTTATTTTTTTGCTTCCGACGACGGAAAGAGATAAACTTTCCGAAACGTTAAGCATTTTTTTCTTTGTTAGGCAAATTTGTGTAACTGTAAACATAACTTCTGACAAGCAGTGTCCGTTTAGGTTTAACGCAGAAGTGTTTACAAAAAATAACTAAAATTTTATTTTGTAGATTTTCTTGCAGTGCAGTGGCGAAATACCCATAAAGGATTTTTTGGAGAGTTGAAAAAAAAAACGTTTAAGATATTTTAAGAACTGATATTCCGATTTGAATGAGATTTGAAGTACCTATGTTTTGCTAAGCGCTTTAACATTATTTGACTTCCTTTTGACAAAATTCTCTATTTCTGTGAAAGTCAAACGTTAAAACATGCAATGACAAATGAGGCACTTTTCTATAGAGGTAAATTGTGCCCAATGAACTTATTTTGACTCTAAAAATACGTAGTAGTTCTGTGTCCACAGAATATTGGGATACCCTGTAGAGAGTTTTAGCACTAGAAATTTACTTTTCAATTACAACAAAGTTTCATCCGAAATAAAAGGAAATAAAGGAAAAAATCTCTTAAATTATGCATTTCCCAAGTCGATGTCGTTTATCTTCTTTATTAAATAACAGTTTTACTCTAACTGCTAAAATTACTACTCCAGCAAACCAAAACATTCCATTCCAGCGCCAAGATCCATTTAGCAAATCCTGTTATTGGATAAAGCAAGAGCATTCGACAAAAGATATTTTAAGATGCTTTCAATTAAACCTTGTTACTAGACAGCCCTTAATTGAGAGTGTAATTGAAAGTGTCCGTATTTTTTTTCCTTCTCCTCAAATTTAAAGACGACTAAATTAAATTAAATCGCTTTGTTTGTTCCATTTTAGGTGGTTTAAGAAAGCGTTTAAGCAGTTTATTTTGCGGCAAGTCTGAGATTGAAGGGAAATTAGATTTTATTAACCCCAAGGCTGCTGGTAATTAAATTTATTACCGGATATAATAAAATATTTGCAAAAACAGATAGCAATCTGTTCGGAAGGGAAAGATTATTATTATTTATTATTCTGCCCTTCGTACACCGAGGAAAGGGTTGTATTGTTTTCAATTAGATTTATGCCTTAATTCAATATAACAGAATTAAGTGTTTTTTGAGGGTAAATCTGACTTGTTCAGATAAAAAAGATCTTACTCTCCAGTCCTTTCATTATCTGGCTGGCTTGGGTTAAATTTAACTAATCTCTTTGATATGCACAGTGTCCAATTATTTCTTCCAATTAGCCAGTCTAGGGTTAAGTAATGCCTTTCTAGAATGACCTGAACTATTTGACTTGGCATTAGTGCGAGATAATTGGTTTGTTGGTCAGCTTTGATTGTGTCAATTAAAATCGATTTTTGGTAGTTTAATGATGGATTCAATTATGCAAGATATTACTCATTGGGGACATTAAACTTAATATGTATGTTGAAATAAATACAGAAATTAAGATCTAACTTATTTCTGATTGATTTAAGAAATATTTGTTCTATATCGCTTAATATAAAATTCTGGAAACATATATAATTATGTTCTATTTTCATTAATTTTGTATTTTTCTCTGGAGATGTTGGACGAATATAAGACATCTTGAAATGTGAAAAAATACGAGAATTCGACAGGAGAAAGTTTAATTTAAGATGAAATAAAAAAGATACTAAAAAACTGAACTGGTTTGAAGAGTGTCTGTGTAAAAAGACAGAACGTAAAATAAATTTCACTGAAAGGAAAACCATCAGAACGAAAGAGACATGTTCTTGAAGTTTTTGTACCGAAACTCGATTGAGAAAGTATTTAAAACCCAGGATTTTAGGACTTTTGATATTCAGTACAATATACTTTACGTTAAAATTCTGAATCGTTTGAGATAAAGTGTTATAGTTCCCTTAACAGCGAAAGATTGCAAATGCTTAATAGGAATTTTATTGCTCTAACTTCCCATTCCCTTTGTACCGAAATGGGAAAACCATTCTGAAGAACAGAGTGGGAAAAAAACTACATCAAAACCGTCCAAAGACGACAAAAACGTAAAAAAGGAAATCCATTGGGACAATCGACGTAAAGATTGAAGGTATTGGAATTGGGCCAATGGGAAGCAAGTTTAATATTTGAAAGGGCAAAGGTTCAAAAAAATTAAATATTTTTACAAAAAAGCATAGGTACATACAAAATGCATGCGTCCTTTTTTTGTTTTTTTCAGATAATGTTGTTACAAAACGATAAAATGCTAACATAAATTTCATACTATATCACTATACCGGGTGGTGCATCGTCTTTGGAAACATAGAAAATCCCATGCAAATTTTGAACTATCCAAATATTTGCTCGCCTATTAATTTTACAGATGTGCTGAATACACATGCCAAATTTGAACACTTTTGGACAAGCCGATTTTAAGTTATTTAAATTCTTTTTTTTTAATTGACACTGTAAATAGTTTGCCTTGTAAATTGCTGTTTTAAAAATGATTTTTCGTTATGTATTTGTGTCAATCATTAATGTCAGTAACAATGCAATTTATTTAGAGATAAAAGTTAAGCCTGCATATCGATCAACCATGACGAACGAAATCGATAAGAGGCAATAAACTTCCTTAGAATAACATGCGACAGCATATCGTACCTTTTTCGATTTCACAGAAATTTAATATAGAAAAATCGTACTAAACAATATATCAAACTAGGCAGGAATTTTACAAGATTGGGGTTGTTTTTGACATTTTTTAATTATTACATTTTTATCTTGGTAATTGCTCTTAAATATCAAATAATGTCACTAATACACCAAAAAAAAAGGAAAGCGTCTTAAAAATTAAATGCACCTTAATCTTACGAATCCGTGTCAAAAGGTAGAGTATATTTCTAGGACATATAAACTGATATTGCTAAAAGGGCTAAATTTATATCTTGGAAATTGCTCTTAAATATCATTTAATGTCACTAATACAGAAAAAAAGAAAACCGTGGACTTAAAAATTTAATTCGCTTTAATCTTACGAGTCCGTGTCAAAGGACAGAGTGTCTTTCTACGACATATAAACTGATATTGCTGAAAGGGCTAACTTTATATCACTCTAACTGGGTACGTGACTAAATTCTCTGACCTACAACATTTAATTTCTTTCCCTCTTTTAGCTCGGTATTGTATAAATATCTATTGGTAGTGTAATATCCGTTTAATAATGATTGCTTGTCGAAAATCTGAATAAACTTTGTTTTTGCTGAAAACAGGGATAAATATAAACTAATATAATACTTCGTTGTTTGTTTTCCAACGATCTAAATGTAATATTAATTTAATTATCAACTTTAACTGAACAATGTGGCGGTTTTATTAAAAATAGATCGTTTATCGACAGAATTCTTTAGAAAATATTTCGATAACGTTGAGGGGAACGTTGTGAGTTGACGGTTTCGTTAACGGTAAAACATGATTACCGGAAACTTTTAACTAAGAAAGTTGAGCCCCGGCGTTTCAGCGAAAGCTTCCAATTTTCGTTAGAAGTGATATGCCCTAATCCCGGATTATATCGCTCTACATACACAAGAGAATGCATTGGAAAGATCCCAAACTTTAAACATTACTTTGTCTTAATTGTCATAAAAACTTCTCCGGAGTTTACTGCTCTCTATTTATATTCCACTTTTTTCTGATTGTCTGGCATAAAAATGTTTTATTTTTTTTTTGTTGCGACTTTATTTAAAACAGTTTTATCTAAAGATAGTGTAAAACCTTTAATCTTTTTACGATCCAAAGAAAAAATGTAGTAGGAAATATTTATTTGTTTTATCCTGTTTCAGCCATGGATCAGGTATGGTGTGTGGTTTTGGAACACGTTAAATAATGTTTATCTGAAAGTTCGTTCTTTTAATGATATAGGGTGTACCATACAAAAAAATATATACCTATAATTCTAAAACTGTAAAATAAATAGATCTCTTTGTTCCAGAAACAAGATGAAGTGTCACAAAAATCGGCAGAAAAGGAAAATTCAAGATCGAATTGGGACAGTCCAGTTGAATTTGTCCTTTCCTGCTTGAATTATGCCATAGGCTTGGGAAATGTGTGGAGATTTCCATATTTATGTTACAGCAATGGAGGTGGTAAGTATTTTTATTTTGTCAAATTATGTACAAGATATTTAGGAATATTGATTTGGTGTTTTTGTTTGAGTGTACATTTCTTTTTCAGGTGCCTTTCTGCTGGCTTACTTCATTATGCTTGTTCTAATGGGAACGCCGATATTTCTCCTGGAATTGCTTATAGGTCAATATTCTGGATTAGGGCCAGATATGGCTTTCAGGCATATAGCTCCCATTTTTACTGGCTTAGGATATTGCTGTCTTTTGGTCGTATTCTTCATCACCGTCTATTACATGATGATAGTCTCTTGGACTATATTCTATTTTTTCGCTTCATTTACCAAAGATTTAGGATATGGACGATGCAATCACGAATTTAATACTTTAGGTAATATGCTACATGTAATGTATATTTCTCTATAAGATAATTTGTTTTTAACTGGTTAACTGGTTGAAAAATATGTTCTAGCTTAATGTACTAGAAATATATAGAGCTTTTATAACTTACAAGAATAGCCAAGCTTCGGGAAACTTTTAGTTCGTTCAATTAATCTTGAAATATGTCCCAGACCAAAGAGTAATGGCGATCTATATCGAAAGTCGGGCATCCAAGACTAATATGAACTTTAATTTTCAACAGCTAGTCCTTCATAACGTAAAACTCTCTACTTCTATTACTTTTGATTATCTTTTGTTTAAAAAAAACCTCAAAAACCGTTTATTGTTTAGTTGAACGTAACTAACTTTACTAGGCCGGACAAAAACACTATTAAAAAGCTTGTTTTTCATGTTTTGGAAAAAAAATCTGCCGGTAAATCAGCCATTACCACGAGTTGTTCACGATTACTCTGTTTTAATGGCTACGTGCTGATAAATTGAAATAGGCTGTATATAAACGCATAAAAAATTCAAAAATTGTTTTCTGTATTTTTTTCCATCGCTACAATGGAAGGGTTTGTTTAGGTTGTTATAGTGCTTTAGAGGAAGCGAGATGCTCAATGAACGAAACATGGTACGCCAAAGATTGTATGAATACAGAAGAACTTTGCCAGGGATTTGGTATGGTTGATGCTACTAACAGAACCTATTGTTACAATGGTACCGCGGATGTCTCTATTTATAATTTGGTCAACAGGACTTTAGCTAGTTCAGAGTACTTTAGGTAGGTCATCCATTCTCATCAAGCCATCTGAAATGTTTCTCATTTTGAAATATATTTTGCTTTATCCACAATACCGTATGTCAATACTTTTAATGGAGATATCGTGAGAAAAAGAATAAAAGGAAACGAAAAAAAACGGAAACATTCAAATGGACCCTCAAGGGTTTTACTGTTAGGTCTTTGCATCCAGATCCTTAGTAATACTCCTGGGGTAAACGTAGTAAAAATGGACGCTCTATAATAAAATAGAAACCAAATTCCAGAAAATATTCCTGCAAATCAATAAAGAAACGTTCTTTAGATTTGCTATTTTTTTTATAATATGTTATACAATACTTAAATATTAATAACTTTAAATCATTCCAGGAATGTTAAAAAATCTACTATATTTGCTAAATTATATTATTTGTATTATCAAAGTGTTTAATCAAATGTTAATAACATATTAATCTCAATATAATATATTATTAATCAATAAGGATAACAGTATCAATGACAACTATCTTTTATATATTTTAATTGTGATTAACAAACGATCAAGTTTCATGACTTAACATTTTCTTAACAACGAGAGAAAGATTAGATCTACAGATAAATTAAATATATCTAGATTTGCACAAAAGTAAAGTATGTAATAGTAAATATATTTAAAGAATTTTCGTGAGCATATATAGTTTAATATATTAGCATTATATAGTTAATTAGGTTGTTTTAGATATATTTTTCATTCCCTTTAGTAAACAGAACTGGAAAAACTCACTCATTTTTTCCTTTTATATAGAGAATATGTTTTGGGTATTGGAGATGCGACATGGGAGAATTTTGGGGGCATGAGATGGGAAATTTTTGGCTGTTTGATATTCTCCTGGGTGGTCTGCTATCTGGCCGTACTCAAGGGCGTAAAGACATCGGGAAAAGTTGTCTATTTTACCGTATTGTTTCCCTATTTCATTCTGACCGCCCTCGTTATCCAAGGAGCCATATTGCCAGGAGCCAAAGACGGCATTTTACTTTACCTAAGACCTGATTGGAATAAACTAACGGATGTTAATCTGTGGGCTTCCGCCGCATCCCAAACGTTCTATTCTTTTGGCATTGGTAAGTGTAGCAGTGCTTATTTTTACATAATGTAACACTCTTTTTTTGTCAATTTAAAAGTTTTATATTTTTTATGTATCAACTTTAATTCGTAATATCATTTTTTCTAAAGTTTAATCTGGCCTGTTACATAGAGTTAATCAAAGGGTTATTTTTACCCTATCTTTAAAACGTCCTGTACAATAATTTCATGTCAACAAATGCCTTGGTTAATTTTTAAGAGCGAAGTGTTCTTTACCATATTACATTTTAAAATGTCCTAATGTCATATTAAAGCCGCATTAGATACTCTGTACTATATTAAATTTAATTAAAAACGTTAAAGAATAAAGATCGAGTCTTGGTTATATAAACAGAAATAACAATAACAGAACTAACGATATTAAAGAAGGCATAACTGTAATAACTATGTATATAAACAGAAAAAACTTGTAAAAATATTCTTATACTTTGTATTTTTGTATTGCCTCCCCTGGCTGCTATAACTGCCTGTAGACGTCGTCGGTTCATTGTCAGTAAGGCTGCAAATATTGCGTTATGTTTTTCCATTTTTGTTCAAGATCCAAGAGAGTTCACTTAATGAAGCTGGAGCCTACAACCTCTAAGCCTCCTGCCAATGAGTTTACTCACCAAATTATTACACAGAGAATTTTAGGGTAAAAAATAACCTTTAAATTAACCCTGTTTAATAAGCCAAATACTAAAGTTTATAAAAAACTGAGTTTACGAATTAAAGTTTATATAATTGTACACAGTTCACTAAAAATTTCATGAAAATAGGATTAAAAATAAAAAATGTAACACTTTAAATTTGACGAAAAAAAATATGCGTTGCGTTTTATTGGTATCTGAGTGTATAAATAATCAGAACATATAAATAAATAAACTCCTAGAATTACTAAACATTTTTGTCTGGTGGAAACGTTTTCTTTTGTAGGACTTCAGCAAAGGCAAGCAAACATAAATGTGTTGCCAAAATTAGAAACCTCATCATAAATACAACGCGACAGAAACTTATACCTATAACCGCTTCTTTTGTTATGCATATTGAGTTCCTTTCTTCATCAGACATATACGCATATAGGGTTTCAGAAAAATAAATCACTTCCATGACTTAGATTTTCTTTTTAATAAAAAAATTTACAGTAATTCAAAAAATCTTTATATTCTTTCCCGTTTTTTTCAGCTTGCGGTTCTCTAATAACGCTAGCCTCCTACAACAATTTCAAGAACAACTGCATTAGGGACGCTGTAATTGTCAGTTTTACCAACGCCTTCACGTCAGTGTACGCAGGGTTTGCGATCTTTTCCATGTTAGGCTACCTGGCCAATCAGATGGATTTGCCAGTCGAAGAAGTAGCCGATGCCGGACCTGGCCTAGCATTTATAGCATATCCGGAAGCTATATTAAGGCTCCCCGCTTCGACCGTTTGGTCACTCATGTTCTTTTTCATGCTGTTTATTCTTGGATTGGGCACGCAATTCGCCGGTGTCGAAGCTATAAGCTGCAGTATTATGGATAAGTATGTTTACAAGGTTTTACCACATTTTAGAAGTGTTACACTTTGAGTTTCTTTAAATCTAATTGTCTAGTACTTTATTTGTTTAATTAAAACTATTAACTATTGAATAAAAAGACTAAGGAAGAAGCCCAATACTATTTTTATATTCATAGAGTATAAATCTGGAATGATATTGTGTCTCAGTGTCTGTGTGAATCTTAGATAAAGGCTATTTTATTTTTTTAAAGTTAAAATCGCTATCAATTGCCAAATTTATTGTTGCAAGGTTTCTTTAGCATTTTTATTCAATGTTACTGACGGAGATTTACAGAAATTTGAACTATATAACTTTGTAGCTTCTTTTTAGATAAACATATTTGTTTTAATTAAGAGGTAAAGTAAATATTTTATGAAAATGGTGCTTATGAAACATAATTAGAAAGTTAGGAATTACGTTTAATTTTCTGTACAAAATAAACTGGATAGGTTTGAATATATTTATCCAGAGTTAATACTACAGAGCATTATACAAAATCATAATTATTGAGGTGTGAAATTGGCTTCTATATAACTGCAAATACAGCAACTTCTGTAGCTATACTTTGAGTATTTTGCTTTGCGAAACTAAATATATAAAATTTATTTTAATCATCTTAGATGCTTCTATTTTCCCGGGAAATAGGCGAAACAAATTTTAGCTCTAGAAATCTATAATCTTTTTTAGGTGGACGCATCTGAGACAGTACAAATCTTATATCAATTTAATTATATGCACCGTTTGCTTCATACTCGCCATCCCTATGTGTTTCTCCGGTGGAGTATATTTATTTACCCTTATGGAGTGGAACACAGCATCCTGGGCTATAATGTTGATAGGTTTCGCGGAGGTTGTAGCCATATCATGGTGCTACGGCTGTCTCAAATTTATCGGTCACATGACCCACATGGAGATGAGCATGAGGGCACTATGGAAGGGTTATTGGTGGACGTCTTGGGTTATCGTAACACCCGTAACTCTTTTGGTGCGAACCTTAAAATACATTTTTAATTGATTTAAAATAATAATATGGCAAATTTAAGGGAATTTTTGTATTCCAAATGGTGGATTACTCGCCAGCTTCGTACGAGGGCTACGTATTTCCCGTGTGGGCCGATGTTTTGGGTCTCTTAATCGGACTAACTACGTTGGTGCCCTTTATTTTCGGTTTAGTTTATGTTTTCTGGAGGACGGAACATGTAAGCCATTTGCTAGAGGGGGGCATTAGAATAATGAGCTAAACGGTTGTGTACTTTCAGCGGGGAAAAGCTTTGTTCCAGAACACTACAAAATGGGGAGCGCAAGGAGCAGTTGCGGACAGTCAATGGTCTCTCACACCGAAAGAGGGCACGGAATAACTTGTCCATGGCGTAGTTTTGTAAATAAAAATCTTTAGAAAAGTGTTTTATTTATTTCGAGACCGTTTAACTCCAGTAATCCAATTTTTCTTATTTAATTTTAACCTTTACAAGAAGTTTAAGCATTTTTTATCACTTTTTAAAAAATTTTAAAAAATTCCAAACGTAGAGTAATTTCTGGTAGCATGGAATTCAATTTTGATTTTCCCATATAAAATATCAAATTTGGAAGCAAATAGCTAGCAATTTTATTTAAGATACTTTCCCGTAAGAGTTGGATAACAATGGAGGTATGGATAACAATGGAGGGTAATATAGGATGAGCTAAATAATGAGTTAAATAAACGGTAAACAAAATTTACCTCAATGTGTCAAGTTTGGTATTTCTTTATGAGCCAATTCTTTACAAATGACACATTCCACCTTCTTTGTTGCGACTCATTACGAAGTGGTAATATTTCATATTTCCCCCAATACCTGTTGCATATTATTAAAATTTAAGTCGAAGCAGTTAACTAAATACATAATAAATATTTTGTTTAGCCTGGTTTAACTAAGTAATCGAAATGATTTCCTATTAAAGTTTTAAAAACTAGTGTTTTCGATTTGTTTCTTTTCTTGTTTTTTTCGATCATGTGAACTGTAGTTTATATATTAATGGTCTTTTAGTTATTAGACCATAGATGGGACATATTGTTTTGAAAATATAAGGAATCCCATATTACCCTGTATATTTCATATTACCCGAATTTACTCTATCTATAATATGTATAAATTTCATAAAATCATGCCTTTTTTTCAATTGTACTGGCGCATCAAAAATTTAATCAGTTTTTTTCTGCTAAGAAAGTTTAATGTAAACAAAGAAGAGTTGAAAATTTTGAATTTTCTTTGGAATATTAATAAATACGAAAACTTTTAACGAAGCTTTGCATAAAATATTCTTCTGTCGTTGCAGAAGTTAAATAACGAGATCTCAATTAAACGACAAAATATAATTATTTTCTTTCTTATAGGTACTTTGTTTTTTGCTTAATTTCTTTTGTACTAGTAAGCAATTTGTTTAAAGAAATTAGAGATGGTGAATTAGGATAAATTTATTCAAGCAAATAGTACTTCAGAGAGATACACATAAAGTCATTAGGTTGTATGGTAGTATAAAATAGCCTTTTATATAGCTGTAAATAGAGCTCCTTTTGTGTTTAACGCACCCTGGGGAAAGTTCAGATGGAATTTTTAGAAAACAATCTAGTTTCGGTGTAATCCATGTTTACGAACATGAATTTTCTAGGTTTTATTATGGTGTTTCGAACAGCGAAACATTACTTCAAACTTTATATGTTCCTTCAGCAAAATGGCTTATTTATAACTGAGCATTCTTTTATTAATTCCTCGGATTTTTGATATATCCAACGTTATTTAATATTTCTAAAGGGTAAACAGTACGGTTTTGCTTTTTATTATCGGTTTAAATTGAATAAATACCTTCTGAATTATATTTGCGCCAGTATGTTGTGAAACTTAAGACCTTTTGCACGAATTAAAATTTTTGATGCTGTTGAACAAAAAGTATCAGATTTTATTATAGCTTTCGGATATTTCGCTTATATAAATATGTTTATGCGTATTGAGTTTTTAGAGCAAACAGAAACATTGTTGGCTCAATTCATCATTCTTTTAGGGTTTTTTTTATAAAAATCGACTTTTTGATTTTTAAAAAGTTAAGTTGGTGTGTTGGTAGTGCACAATACAGAAATATTTCTAGCAGGCTCTACGTTAAATCACTAAAATATGGTGTGGGTCCTATGCCCAGAACCTGAGATATAGTAAATTAAAATTAATATAATAAAATTAGGATTCTGAATTTCAAAGAAAAAACTATGAGCGTGCGAATAACCAAATGAATTTTAATTTTCGGAAGTTACCTAATATAAAATATATAACCTGGATAATCCCCTATATAACCTCGTTTGTAATGCGCTCACGTCCCGTTATGATTAACAAAATATATACATAAATAAATTATTATAACGGCAACTATATAATTAACAAGAAAGCGTGAAGGCACGTCTATGATCCTTAAAGGGTACGTGTACACGATGACGCCTATCGCGTGGCGGAGGAACAAAAACCTTTTGACCTTTTGCCTTAACCAGATAGAGGAGATGCAAAAAAAGATAATGCCGCAGAATATATTTGGTAGACGAAATTTGGGGGAATGCGTGGAGCAATTATCGACAGAAACGACTGAAAAAAGATAAGACCACAGGAGAAACCTAACGATTCAGTCAATTTGTGACAATTTTACACTAGCATATCGATTTTTTTGGCCCGCTTTAATATATAATGCCAGCGCTCACTGTCCCACTATTATCTACACAATCCGATTGTACGAAAGCTTAAAAACGAAATAAAAATATGTTACGATCATAATTTAACATTACTTTTATAGTCATTCGATAAAACTAGACATAAAAATAAAACTCCTATTTAGAACATAAGCTTAAACAAAATTATACTAATGGCAAACTCAAAATGAATACTCTGTATACGCGTAAAGTAGTAGCAAATTATAAATGAATGGACCTTAGTTAAAGTAAAATATGGTAGCGTTTAAATAAAGGTTAAATACCCTTTCTTCAGAGACTAACTACACAAATTGTTTTAGTAAATTCATAAGCCTCAAGTGGAGGGCATTTACTAAGATTAATGATGTCCATTTTTTCTAAAGTTCCTATCTAGTGGTCAGTGAATTAAGGACTAGTTTTTACAACAAATAACGTAAATTCCCGAGTAGCTTTTTATATGTTTTTTACGAAAACAATTCCATCTTTAATTGAATTGTTACGTATACTACCTTCTTTTATTGTATTGATTTTATCCAGTTTCTTAACTGAACTTGGAAGAATTCACATATTTTTACATTTAATAAGAAATGCAATAAAAATAAGAACATTAAGTTTTAAAAATATCTTTAAAGTTCTGTTCCAACGTCTTCTTTAATCCTTTTTTTCCATCTTTTTTAGTATATTGCGTTAGCAAGATTAAAATTGTGTAGCTTTACTTTAGGTTTCTTTAAGAAAGACAGTCCAAGTAGCCTGGTTTAAGTAAATAAAGTAATTAAGCTACAATAACGTACGTTTTCCTGGAACTCCTGGAAATATGTTTTATTTTGAAAAAGGAACAGATTAGATAATCTCATTTTATTTTATTATGTCTCGTATAATATTTAAGTCAATATTACATGAGAGTATAAACTCAAAAATAAACAGACTCTGTTATTTTTAGAGTCCGGAGAGTAAAAATAAAAGAGCCAGTTTTAAAAATATCTCTCTCTTTACAGCACACGTGAAGAGTTAATTTTTAAACTTTTATTTTGCAAGCGTGCCTTCCCTGCTTCTCCGTTCACAACTTGGAAATGTAACTTGTATTTTGTGCTTGGTATATTTATTAGTTCAAAAACATTTAATAAACATTTCGCTCAAAACCGGAATGCGTCGAAAAGTTTTTCTACGGAATTCCGAAGTCATTGTTCGTAGGCTCTCTTTATCTAGCAAGTTATTTTAGCAACTATGGAATAAGTTAGAAATTTAAACAGCAACAGTTGGTCTTTTGTTCGCATGCCATGCTTTAAACAAGCAAACACCAACACAACAAATTGTTTATTAGATTTCACAATAATAATACAACAAGAATCTAGTTTTTGTACTTAAGGTAAATGTATTTACTCAGCAAAATTGGTAATTTTTTTACCCCATCCATTTCCAACTTATTGCCTAAAAACTATTAAAAACGAAAACTACCCCTATTGTAAGGGTTGAAGAGGAATAAAACTACCATAAATCGATGCGTTTTTTGCCACTGAAGCAAATGGCAGCTCAATCAAGTAGATAGCCCCATCAGTTCCGTATTTATCTTCATAAAACTATACTACCCCAGAAATCCGGACAAATGCACTCTGAAATCCGGACAAAATCCAGACGTCGCAAAAAAGAAACTACAAATTTATTTATGAACTTTTATAGTACGCAAATAATAACCCCGGAATCAACAAAATATAAACGAAAATACTAAAACTTATTAATAATATTAATAAAAATATATATCAAAATCACAGGGTGTTTTCTCACCCGCTTTTGATAATTTACTTGTAATAAAATGGTAAACCATGTCGAATTTTGCTTGGATGGTAGTAGGTAATTATTTATGTATCAATTAACTTTAGTGTATAAGATAAATAAAATTGTTTAATTAATTTATAACAATTATACCAAGATATCTCTATCAGGATATAAGGTTTTGGCAGCAAATCATTTTTTTGTTAGTCTTCTGAGGTAGATTTGTAAAATGTACCTACCATATTGTACCACTCATATGCATCCTAAATGTTATATTTATGTTATTATTCATTAATTAGAGATATATATTCATTCAAATCAAATGAAGTGGTGTAAATTAGTCTTCCAGCTGTTTTATTTTTTAATCTTGATTTACTAGATATTTAGATATATATCATGAAATATATTAGCTCTATTTTTTCTTTCCTTTAACTGAAAAGAAATCGATGGAATTTATGTATAGCCAAGGCTGTTAGAATAAAAAACTCATGAGCATTCGTCGATATTAGCGTCTGTGCCGGGTCGAACACTAACCAAATATTTTTAATTATTACTTTGTAGCAAGTGTTACTGTTTTAATCTTTCTGGGTCATGCGTTCGTAAGCATTCGTTGCGAGGTCTGATATGCAAATATATACGGAACTCTAGTGTTTGTACTACCATAAATTCTTAAGGGCATGAAAAAACACAAGCGGAAACAGAATATGCATAGTTTATTTTTGATTTTATCTCTCTAAAGGCTAATTTCATTGTTAAAATAAGATGGTGAATGTTTTGTTGTTGAATCCGCTAACATTTTTTACAATATTTTGCAATATTTAGATTAATATAAATTCAATAAAGTCAGTATATTTCAGGAATTAGATTGATTAAAAATACCTCTGTATGCCATCATCATTTTCAGCATATTCAACAAGATTTGA